ACACAAGTCGTCTTTATGTCTATCGACTTGACCTTTTTTTTCCGCACAAGAACACATTTATACCTCCACTGGCTTTATACTTTTAGGTGTTGGGACTATCCGTCCAACTTCATATTTTTCAGGTGAAATTAATTTTTATTGCGTATTTTTTATTTGGCCAATCATTTATCTGTCCAAATTTCATGACAGATTTGAGCTCAAGATCCTCGTCAATATTAATAATATTGAGCGCTACATTATATTAACAATATCGTCGACGATCATTTTATATCGGTTCTACTATTACCCAATAAAGACATAACTTATTGAAATCTTTTTATCTTATTATTTTCAGGTACCTGAGCCTCTCCCATGAGGTCTTATGAAGTGTTATGTCGTGGTACTCTTCTAGAGCACTTGCCTCCTTATTATGACCATCTTGAACATTTGCTCTTCTCCTTCTTCAAGGAGTTTTATCTTTGGAACCGATTAGTCTATTATGCTTTATGCATGCCATGTACTCTATTCATTATGAACTTTATTTTATTTGGAGCATTAGCAGCTGAATATGACATTTAGCTTTGGGTCAGCAAATACGTCTAGCAATATTTTGCAAATGAATTATCACTTGAACTTCAAGTTCACATTTTCTCGTACGAGGATCTCGATGTACTCATAATAATTCATTATATGCATTACTTTTTCAGCTTTTCATTTTCTCCCCCTATTGTTGAGATCACCAACACATATCTCTAGCCTTATTTGGGAATCCATCTTTGTGCATTGTGGTGGAATAATTAAATCATATATCACATTCATATTTTTAGATAGAAATTATTTGGTTCCTGACCCTAAACCGATTGTGATATGGAGAACTTATCATAACTTGGCTAGATGCGTACAAGTGCTGTTGTATATTAAATAATACATCACATACCAAATTTTATTTTGGCAATTTTGTTCTCATAACCAATGGTTTAGATATAATTGGAGGCATACAATTTCTACTAAACCAACTTGGATTTAAACTAGTATTATCAAGATAAATCATCATAATTTATATTCTGAAACTGTGCTATAATAATTTGATCAATCAATCTTGCAAAAGCCAAACTACAAGTTGATAACAAATGCACATGTGACCATATAATAGATGCATCTATTAAAATCATATAATAGTAAACGGTCCACATAGAAGGTGACTGGGCTC